TCATCAAGCTCCCAGCGAAACGCAGGCTGAAGTCAAGCTGATCCCAACTGATCAATATTTAACATCTTGTCCTTCCCCAGGCCTCCTGGAAGAGGGAGAAGTGCTGACCAGAGGCTCCTTTTCTCTATTTGTCATATGAAGAAACCGAGACCAGCCCCCACGCTCAGAGGGTAGCAATAGTCTTAAGATGAGTTGCTCCTCATTTTAAAGATGGGGAGACCGGCTGAGTCACACAAGCTATAGGATGTACACGTGGAGGGCAGTGCCTTCTACCTGGGTGGGTCCACCTGCAGGAATGTGGCTGTTCTTCCTGAGACGGGAACTCAACAGAGTCTATACAAAGAGGTCTCATCGGGGCCGCATCAGGACGACAGCTTAACAAGCAGGAATGTCCGGAAGCAGCAGCAGAGGTTGTCAAGGGAAGCTTCATGTCCTTGCAACCCTCCTGGGTACTAACTGCAAACTGTTTTGGAAGACAGGCTTGTACTTAGAGGATGGAGAAATCCAAGGTTTACATTTCCTGACCTGTGATGGTTCACGGTCCAACCTGACCGCTAAGCTGATGCGCTGAACGTCCTGGGGATGGGGATGCCGACTGTGTGTGTGTGACTGTGTGTGTGTGTGTGTGTGGAGTGTGTGTGTAACCTTCCACCCAAAACAAAGGTGTTTTCCGTGACTCTACCTCTAGGAGTGGACATAGATACCGTCGCCAGGAATTCAGGATATCAGGTGCCGTGCTGGCATGAAGGGCACCCCACGAGATCTACCCTGTACCTCAAGCAATGGGTGATGGTCAGTTGAGATCTAAGGGAAGAAGTCTAGATGTTATTATTACTTTTTACATTTCTAAAGGAGTCTCTGCGAGTCCCATCCCTCCAGCATCTGTGATGCATCTCCGATGTAAGGCAGCAAATGGTGCCAGAACACAGACTGGAGGCAGGGGCTGCCTGTCCCCAGCCAGGGGCGGCAGATGTGCCGCAGGCCGGGATGAGAAGCACAGATCTCCCAGTCCGGGACTAAAACTCCTCCTTCACTGTAGCTTCCTGTTGGGGATTTCACCGGCCCTCCGTTTTTTGTTTGTTTGTTTTTTCCCCAAATGAAGGAGTACTCTTCCCATTTTGCAGATGAGGAACTGAGGCCGAGACCCAGAAGCCAAGCCCAAGCGTTTGTGACTCAGTCAGTGCTCAGAGCTGGGGCAGGGGTGGGGAAACTATGACAGTGCGGATCCTGACAATGAGATCTGTCCTCTGAATTATCAGCTTAGCCTTTGGAGGAGCCAGTGTGACCAGGAAACCATGGCCTTCCTCACGAGAACGCGGGAGGAGGATGGGAATGGAATATGTCCAACTCACAGCTCACTTCCCTCGCCTCACCCAGGGGATCCAAGCCAACCCCCAGTTCCTTTCCCACAGATGCTGGATCCTCACCCGCCAACTTCTCCAAGTGTGAAATAAAATGGAACAGATCAGGATCGTGTTAGTGGAGCAGCTCTTGGGGCGGAGAGGGGGCAGAAGGTCCATTCTTTCATAGAAGGTGCAGACGACACAAAGACCAAACTCTGGAAGTCTGGGGTTTCACATCCGTGAGGTCTGACATGGGAACACTGGCCATGCATGGCTACTGAACCCTTGCAACGTGTAAGTGCAACAGAAGGACCAAATTTTTTATTTCAACAAGTTAATTAACCTAAACTTAAATTTTTTTTTGCGGTACGCGGACCTCTCACTGTTGTGGCCTCTCCCGTTGCGGAGCACAGGCTCCGGACGCGCAGGCTCAGCGGCCATGGCTCACGGGCCCAGCCGCCCCGCGGCATGTGGGATCCTCCCGGACCGGGGCACGAACCCGCGTCCCCTGCATCGGCAGGCGGACTCTCAACCACTGCGCCACCAGGGAAGCCCTCTAAACTTAAATTTTAAAACTGATCACTCGATGTGGTTACTGGAAAGCGTAAGTATGTATAGAGCAGCTTAAGTTTATAAATCTACTTCTTCAATCATAAATGTTATGAAATCCAGGCACTTCCAACGTAGAGGCAGCATCTGAATTCAGATATGCTGTGTGTGTACAATACGCACAGGGTCTGAAGACTTAGTTTGAAGAAAATGTAAAACATCTCTTTAATGACTTTTTATATTGATTCATGTTGAAACGATCACATTTTAGATATACTGTGTTAAATAAGATGTATCATTAGAAGTCATTTCACCTGTTTCTTTTTATACATTTTTTTAATGGGGCTACTGGGAAATTTAAAATTGCATATCACATTTCCATGGGTTCGCTACTCTCGATGTTAATGTCGCCAGGGATAGTGCTGGAGAGCGGACATGCTGGCTCAGAGGCTCATTTGTCACTGGCCCTCTCATATTGCTAAAGGTCCCTCCGGAGTACTTTGCCCTCTCCCTCCTAACTACGGTTTCAACAACACTAACTTTCGTGAACACGCACTTCCCCTCATCCTCACCCCACCGACGGCCTCTTCTCCCATTCAGGCCTCCTCCACCCTTCTCTCCTCTACCCCTTAGAAAACCATCTTCTACCACCGTTTCTCAGGCTTTTCCTTTAACACCACCTTCTCCGGTACATCTGTGACTTGAAACTGCTTCATCAGAGGTTGAGGTCCTCCCCAGAGGTCTCACGGAGGGGCCCTCACATTCTGTGCTGCTCTGGCCTCTCTCCCACCACAGGCTCGGCCTTCACCCTGAATGCGGTGCCGGGGGTTCATGGCCTCTTCTCTACCCCCAACCCACCTTTCCTTTGTTCAGCCCCCTTTCTCACTGACCCTCTGTCTCAGTCTGGATTTCTGGGAAACAGACCACGCACGGAGACAGAGAGCCGGGCGTCAATGGGAGGGACTCTTAGGGACAATGCCTGTAAGAAAGCAAGAGATGAGGGCTTCCCTGGTGGTCCAGTGGTTAAGAATCCACTTGCCAATGCAGGAGACACGGGTTCAAGCCCTGGTCTGGGAAGATGCCACATGCCACAGAGCAACTAAGCCCGTGCACCACAACTACTGAGCCTGCACTCTACAGGCCGTGAGCCACAACTACTGAAGCCTGCACGCCTAGAGCCTGGGCTCTGCAACAAGAGAAGCTACCGCAATGAGAAGCCTGTGCACTGCAACAAAGAGTAGCCCCCGCTCGCCCCAAATAGAGAAAGCCCGCACGCAGCAAAGAAGACCCAACGCAGCCAAAAATAAATAAATAAAATAAATACATTTTTTAAATTCTATTAAAAAAAACAACAACAGAGATGGGACTTCCCTGGTGGTCCAGTGGTAAAGAGTCCACCACTGGACTTACAGTGTGGGGGACGCGGGTTCGATCCCTGGTCTGGGAACTAAGATCCCACATGCCGCGGGGCAGCTGGGTCCTCGCGCCACAACTGCTGAGCTCGCATGCCTCAACTAGAGCCCATGCGCCACAGCTACAGAGCCCATGCGCCCTGGAGCCTGCGCGCCACAACTACAGAGAGAAAACCCACACATCACAACTAGAGAGAAGCCCGCATGTCACAAGGAAAGATCCCGCATGCCGCAACTAAGACCCAATGCAGCCAAAACTAAATTGAACAAATAATCTTAAAAAAATAAGTGAGAGAAATGGGACAGCAGAGAGTGAACTTGAACTGGACGCAGTTTCCCCAGAAGCTGAGCCCTCAGGAAACTCCGGAGCTGGGATGGCCATTCAGAGGCCTCTGGAGCAGAAGTAAATCACCCGATCGGGTCCGGGTGCCCCCAAGGAGGGGGACCTGGCTCATCCTGCCCCCACTGAGGGACCCTCTCAGAAGCCCCTGAGGAGCGCCTCATCGCCGAGTCTAGCCCCGTTTCCTTGGCCGCCCTCCTCTTCGGCGCCCCTGGAGCTGGGCCCCTGCAGGACCCGCCCTCTCCTCCGTGATGCGGCACCAGGCACTGCACAGACCCCCGCCAACCGGGGCAGCTTCTTTCACCCACCCTCTCCCTGCTTAGACCGTGTTCTGCCCTCAGCCCGGCCTGCCCTGCCTGGTCTACACTGGTCCTTCATCTCAGCTTCTCGGTGCTCCTGTTGTCTCCCTCTCCCCCAGCGCCCCGAAGGCCTCCTTCCTGAGACCCTCACCCCAAGCAGCTCTGTAGACCTGCCTCTGCTGCATCTTCCCCAGTCACCCCCCATTTCAGTGCTTCCTCCCCAGGGACTATTGCCGTCACCTCCCTCAGAGGCTCCCATCCCACCTCCCCTCTGCCCCCCTTTCACAGCCCGAGGTGCGGGGAGGATGGCTGGCAGCCCTGGACCAGCAGCCTGGTAAATGGGTAACGGCGCTCTCTGTGCTCAAATTTGAAAAGACCACGGTTGGGTAAGCTCGGGCCTTTGCTGCTTTGGCAGGTAACAGGAACCATGAGGCCCCACCGGTTGGATCCAGTTCAGGCAGCTTTGCCCCTGCTCTGGGCCAGGGCGGGACAGATGGGCTGTGTCGACTCTTGCTTTTTTCTCCAGTCCGGGAGGAGACCTTGACTCCCAGAGCCCAGGAAATGGAAAGCTGACGGCCCACAGGACTCTCAGAGGGACAGGGCTGGGATGGGGTCTTCCTTGTGTACGTGGGTCTGGGGGGAAGCGGGGAGGATGGGGAGGCTCTTTGTGATCACACGGGCCGGTCCTTAGAGCCCCCGCACACCCCCACGGCCAGCTTCCCCCACTACCCTGAGGAGTTTCACGCCCCACTAGGGGCCCACTTGGGGGACAGGGAGACCTCCGGGAGGCCCGGGTAGGGTGTCTGCAAGCCGCCCGACTTCCATCCATCCACCCATCCATCCATCCATCCATCCCCCCTCCTCGCAGGGACCCCGGGGCCACCGCACAGCTGCCCTGACTCGGACTGGATTCGCTTCGTGCGCTCTGAACGGGAGAAAGGCCAACCCCTAACAAAGACGGGCGGCCGGCGGGGCGGCGGGAGAAGGAGCCCGGGTATTGGAGGGGCCGGGGGTGGGCGCTCAGGAGGCGGGGCGCGGCCGCAGGAAGTGCAGAGCGAGCGCGGGGCTGAGCGCGGCTGCGGTCCTCACCCGCTGGCCCTGCAGCCCCGCCCCGGCGCCGGCGGCCTTCGCTGCGGAGCCCGCGACCGGTGAGTGCGGGCGGGGGCGCGGGAGGGGGCCCGGCGGCCGCTCGGGACTCCCGCGGGAGGGGCTGGGAGTTGCGTGGCCGAGCGCGGCCCGGCGGGCCCGGGCAGCCGACTCCCGGGAGGATGGGGGCAGGATGGGGCGAGCACGCACCGCTGGCTGCCGTGTTCCCATCCGTCCTCCGGAGACTGCCCGTCTGCACTTAGTGTCTCGGGAGGGAGCTCGGGACCTCAGTGCGCGTCTGTCCCTCCTCCAAACGTCATTCTCTTTGTCCACCTGGACTTCTGGTGGCTCTTATGCACGGGCCCGAGGTGACAGGCCCAGAGCCATCCTAACTAGAATGGGTACAGCCCTTGGTTCCGTACCCCCGGCAAGGCCTTGCCCAGTGTTGGTAGCTGGCGTGTCTCCTGTGCGGGCACAGGATCGTTCTCGGTGGGTCCGTCTGCCTGCCAGGGTGGTCCACAAGTTTCATGGGTGCATCTGTGCATTTGGGGGAACCCGGCTCTGCAGGCCCTGTCACCTGTGTGTCCTCCCTGTTCCTGTGCCTGCAGCTGGCTGGCTTGGTATGGAAGGACAGGAGGTGTGGAAGGTTCTAGGTGTATTGTTTTCACCAGCTGTACGTTCACACACATGACTTGGCTGGAAATATGAAAGGGGCATCTCAAGCTGGGTCTCAGTTGCCGAGGGTGCGGGGGGTGAGTGTTGGCCGTCTCAGCACATGGGCACCCACTGTGGGGCAGGGTGGCGTGGAGAGAGAAGGGAGCTCCTGGAAAAACCCCAAGTGCACCCTAGGGCCTAGGGTAGGTGGACGTGTGGGGAGAGACCTGGGTGGTGTTCGGCCGGAGCGGGTGGTCTGTGGTTAGCTGTGGGCAGCTGGATTAGAGGTGGAGTTGGAGACCTGGGTTTGAACCAGAACTTGGTGGAGGGTCACCACGGCAGTAGCGTGTTCCCTGCACCTGTCCCCCTGGGACTCAGTTGCTTCATGTGCAAAATGGGACTAATGACTGCTGTCCTGCGCACCTCGGGAGGTGTCTGGAGGCTCAAGTTAGCTAAGCAAAGTGCTTTGACAGCGGGGAGGCTCCAGGGACAAAGGGTGAAGGCCAGGCCCACGGGCGCGCCGATCGGGCTTTGGGGAATGCCTCGGGGGCCAGGTCTGTGGGCTGCAGCAGCAGCTGTCTTCACGCCGCTCCCTAGAATATTCCAGAGATAGGAGTGTCTGCCCGGTGCCGGGCCTCGCTCTCTTGGAGCGTGAGGTATTCGCAGGCCTGCCTGGTGCTGCCCCTTTGGTGTGGATGCTTCCACAGCACGAGAGGACAGCCGGCTTGGCAGGTCTTCAAATCATAGCCCTGGAGCAGCTCAGCTGTGCAGAGACCCTCCTCCAGGTGGACTGGGACCTTCACACCCACCGGCTGGCTTTTCTCTGCTTGTCACCACCACCAGAAGCAGTGAGGCCACAGTCAGGCCAGGGAGATGGCAGAGGAGGGAGCTCTCTGTCCCTGGTCACCAGCCTCAGGGTTCCATCTTCTGGTCACAGGGCATCCTCTAGAACCAATGCTGTACCTGCCAAGGAGGGCAGGGAGGGTGTCAAGAGTCCTCACAGCCCCAGACGCCGGGATGTGGTTGTGGTTTGTCACCCCTGGATGTCACCTGTCACCAAGGCTTCTTGGCCCGTAGTAGCTGCTTCGTAAAGAAGCCCTGGAAACCCGGGTTCAGTGCAGCTCGGCCTCCTACCTGCTGTGTGACCTGGGGAAAGTCCCTTCACCTCTCTGGGTCTGTTTCCTCGTTGGTCAAAATCAGCATCTTTCCAGATTATGGTTCTGGTCTCAGCTCACATTCCACGTCCTCAGAGAGGAGGTGACCCTCTATCCAAAGTGACCACCTCCCGGCCTCCGTCACATTGCCCTGATCTGTTTCCTTCCTAGCACTCTCTGCACCATCTGAACCGCTCTCAGCTGCATCCAGCCACACTGAGAGCTTTGCCGAGGAGGGACCTCCTGTTACCTGCTGGCTCACCGCACCTGGAGCCTAGTAGGCGATCCGGAGAAGCTGTCAGTGAGTGAGTAACTCAGTAAGGGAGTTGGATGTGCGTCTTTCACATCGTGCTCCTGGGAGCTTGTGAGGGGGGAGCGGGCCCATAGGCAGGGCCCTGGGCTCTGCACACCCCAGCTCGGGACTGATGTGAGTTAGAGGCTGGCTTCCTTATAGGACTTCCCTCGAAGAAAGGGCCCTCCCATTAAAATAAAACTAGAAAGCCATTGCATCCGAAGACAATGGGGCCTTTTCAACTCCAAGTTGAAATAACAGTACTGGGACGGGGAGTAACGCACACTCAGCCTTCGGGGATGACCAAAGGCTGTGGTTCAGACATGCAGAGCTGTCATCCCATCAACCATCACTGCTTGGCCGTGGAATTCATGATATGGTTGCTTTTTTGCAACTGGTTTAATTTCCTGAGCTTTGGGTCAAGATTAACGTGAAGAGGATTCTGCATCGTGGGGTATGCGGGGTTCTGGACCAGAAGGAAGCAGTGGACATCACAGAGTGGATAGGAGACACGCTGATACTGGAGAGCTGCCTGTGCGGGGTTCCCGTCTGCCGTCATCCTCCTTTGGGTGTGTCCCAGGCAGACTGCCCAGATGCACGTGTCTCTCCCCAGTAGTTTGCTCCGCCTGGTTTTTCTCAAGTAGTTGGTAGTGGAGGACGCCCTTCTCTCTGAGTGATTCCTGAGCCTGGAGAGAGCCAGGTGGATGGCATGCCACGCCCTATATTGAAGCAGCCACGGAAAACATCCCTCCTTTGTCGCTTCTTGTAAATTAATTTGTGAATGGCGGGGTGACTCCCCTGTCCGGTGCTGTGCCCAGGTTTGGGGCACAGAATACAGTTCATCACCACCTTTGCTAAACCCCAAGGGCTGGGCGTCAGTAGTCCACCCAAGGACGGGGAAGGAGGTTGAGTTGTTTGTGGGGTTGTTTTAGGTGGCTGGTTGAGGAGAGAGACGGGAGAAGTGGACAGAAGGGACTGAGTGCAGGACGCAGCCCTCTGCTAATTCCTCTGACGGTTGACCTTGCTTCTTGTACGCGTCCCTGCTGGGCTGACGCTTGTGCGTTCCTGGGACCAGAAGCTTTAACCTTCCAAGAGGACACAGGCAGAGGGCAGAGCCAATAGAGGTGGTGGAGGGGGAAGAGGGGTTCGGGCGGGGGTCAATATTCTCACGTTCCCTGTGTGCCACAGGCCTGAGACTAATAAAGACCCAGCCCTGACCTCCGAGCAGCCAGTTGTGAAGGAGATGAAACTTACTCCCCGGAGGAGAGGCGAGAACAGCTGAGTGCAGACTGCAGCGGGGGTGGGGGTGGGGGTCTCACCCAGGCCACAGCTGGAGCTCAGAGAAGGGTCTGGAAAGTGCCAGGGGGCAGAGAGCCCGGGGCGGTCAGCTGTCCAGCCGGGAATCTGGACTCTGCCTTCTCCTGAGCGCCTTCCGTGACCTTTCCTGCTCTGTAAGCGGAGGAGACGTCTCTAGGTCATAGCCTGGCTTCAGGTCCCCGAGGCTTCCCCCCCCAGGCCAGCCCCGTCCCTTACCTCCTCTGGGTGCCCTTCCAACTGGGCCATTCCCCTCCCCACCTGGCTGTGAGAGGAGCTGGCTGTATTCCAGAACTTCTGCCATCCGTGCTCACTGCCCCCCTCGTCGGGGGCTATGCACATGGCCCTTCTGAAAGGCTTAAGGAGCTTTGCTGTCAAATACCAAGAATTCAAGACTTGAGGATGTTACAGAGGTTGAGGAAACGTTACGGGAAGTTGCTCGATTGGGTCCCCGATCTGCTGAGATCACGAGTAGGGTACTCAGACCCTCTCCAGTGGTAATGTGTGTTGGCGGGGGGAGGTAACCCAAAGTGATTCTCACCTTGTCCTGACATATGGGTTCTTCCTCTTGTTTTTAAACACGGACCCCATGTTTTGAAAGTTTTTTATCAGCCAAATTTCAACATAAATGAAAATTTGTTTCTCCATGTGAAAAAATTATTCAGAGCCACAAAACTGAAAGGGATTCACTCTCCAGTGCCCACCTTTCTGGTTTGTATCACTTACATTTCTTCAGAATCAGCTTATGTTATTTACTAACAGATTCTAGCGTGTCTAAAAGGCTCAGAAGAGAAAAAAGACAAAGGACAGGAGTGAGCTGTTTGTGTCGGTTTGCCTGAGGTCTGGAACCGATTGCAAAATTTTAATAAAAAAGCATTACCTATCCTGGTTGACCGTGTAGAGTGGTAGCTGAACTCTGAAGCATTTTTGACAGGTAAAAGCCCAAGTTTCATGAAGTATCGTAAAGAGATTTCCCTCTCAGAAGCCCCTTTACTAGACACGTACGAGTGTTCCGACGTTTGGAAAACAATGTCCCATACCCGGGTTTCAGAATGGTATACCTCACCCCTGCTGGAGGATGGAAATTGACTTTCTTTTCCTGGCAACCAGCACGAAGCTGGGCGAGCAGTAGGGGTTCAGTAAATGTCCACTGGGCGGATATTTCAGAAGCACTCCTCAGCCATGCCTAAGTCTGTGCCTGAAAGAGAAATCCCTACGCCCGCGCCCTTAACTCAAAAAGCAGGACAAAGTGCCTGTAGGTACTGAAATACAAAGCTTTTTCCTTTCTTCCATGGCCTCTTTATTGACTTGTCATGATGTGGTTTTTTTACTTGCTTTTTAATGACATTGTAAGTAAAGAAAAATTAAAGTTTTGAATGACTTGCATGAATTTTACATTCGCCTTTATATTGTGCAACGCCTGTTTTAAATGTAAATAGATGCGCATTTCACTCATACGCTGAAACACCAAAATGACACGATTCCTATTTCACAGCTCGTATGTGCACGTGTATTTTGTTCCCACCAGGACAGTAGACATGGGGCAAGAAACTAACTCAGGTGTTTTTGTTTCACTTCTTGATACACACACGTTCCATCAACACACACCACCTTTGGCCTAGTGGTGAAGGAGGGACAGAAGGGAAAGGGAAAAGGCTGTCCTTCCTTTCCTCCTGTGTCATCATTTTCAGTGTACGTGGGTGAGGAATGCAGGAGGTAGCAGAAATTGGGAAAGACAGGCTATCCCAGGACGGCCCGTGGTTGTTGGCGTTTCTCAAAATGCACAGCTTTCTGTCGGCTTTGAATCAAGCTCGGGTTCCAGCAGGGAGGCTGGCCTCCCGGGACGTGACTCCTTACCTGTACTCTCTCTGAGGCTTTCTGAACCCCGCGCATCAAGGATGCCCTGGGATTCTGTGCTCCTGGGGCATCAGGAGCACCAGGTCAAGTGCGGCAGCAAGGAACAGTGGGTCCATATACTGTGTGTATCTCCCCAGCTCACATTCATGCCCACCGTCCCATGAGACTTCACTTACAAAACACAGGTTCAAAGATAAATTATTAAGAATTCTGAGATGGGACTTCCCTGGTGGCGCAGTGGTTGGGAGTCCGCCTGCCGATGCAGGGGACGCGGGTTCGTGCCCCGGTCCGGGAGGATCCCACGTGCCGCAGAGCGGCTGGGCCCGTGAGCCATGGCCGCTGGGCCTGTGCATCCGGAGCCTGTGCTCCGCAACGGGAGAGGCCCGCGTACCGCAAAAAAAAAAAAAAAAAAAAAAAAAAAAA